AGCCTCACTGTTCCTGCCCTGGACCACCACACTGGGGTACTCCCCGAGGCGGTCCTTTCCTAGGATCAGATGAGCTTTCCAGATCACAAGGCCCTGTCTACCTAACACCACCCCCTGCTTCCCTATGCCTCACTGGAATCTGAGTGCTCTGTTGTCTTCTCCAGTCCTGAAGACTGTGCCTCTATGTGCCATCAGTTTGAGACTGTCCCTTCTTCCACTGTTGTCTCTGCCCCAAGGATCATATGATGGACCTCTCCTGCACAAGACTCCTGCACTTCCCTGCAGCTCCGTGGAGAGGCTGGCTTGTTACATGAGATAGTTCCATATTTCAAGGTTGGGGGTTGTTGTTTGTCTTTACACTGTGGCATCCCAGCATGACTTGGTGGGTACTGACCTGTGACTGGCTCTGGGGATGTTAGGAACAAAAATGGCAGCACCTCACATGTGGGCAGACGGGGAGGTACGAGAGGTGGTGTGTGGGATGGAGATGTGTGTGGAGATGGCGCACACTCAGATGGGCACATCTGGGCCCAAAACGTCACTGTTTGAGCAAGCTAGGGGTATCAAGGTGACATCTGAGGAAGTCAGAAATCTAGGACCTCAATTGCCCACCTCTAGGACTTTACCTGTCAGTTCCTGCCTCTTTTATATGTGGCCCCTATGCCACAGGAACAGAAAACAGACATCTGTCACCACACTGAAATAAGACAGTCCACCCCTCACATTCAATGGGCCATCTCACGCCTCGGCTCTTAATGTTCTAATCTTCAGAACCAGCATAACAAGGGCTGGGAATGCAGATCAGTGGTTTAGTGCTTGCCCAGCAAGCATGAGCCTGTGTTCAGTCTCAGGATGGGAGGTAGCTGGAAGGGGGGCAGATGAAACCCACGTCAAAGGTGCACACACCATACTGTGAAGTGATCAATGAACTCTCCTACATGAAGGAGCAGCTCACTGTGACATGCACTGTGTATTTGTGTGAGCAATGCTCTATACCAATGAACCCAGAGCAGTCACCACTTAGCAGAATTCAGGGGAGCTTTGAGGACAGTGACTGGTGTTGTAAAGACAGGACTCCCTCTGAGTTAGCCCGAAATACTGGATGCTGTGTCCATAGGCAAACAGGGCACCAGGATGAAGATGCCCTCTTCCTACCATGAGCAGCCCGCACCTCTTCCCCTCTCCAGAAGCACATCTGGAGCAGAGGAAGAACAGGCATCAGGTTAGGGTGCAGCAGATGCTCCTGGGCTCCTCAGGAAGGACTTGTTCCATGGGCCCAGGAAGCTAGTGCTTATCTTTGGGGGCACTGACAGATCAGTTTTGTGTTTCAGAGTGACTCTTGGAGGCAGGAAGAAAACACCAGGCAGGAGTTGGCAGTTAGGCTTGGGGATGTGGCTGAGAGGAGATAGACTGCCTGTGTACCTGTGTGTGTGGAAAGGTAGAGGGGCCCTCGCAGATGCTGAGCACCTGGTTCAGGACAGTCACAGTGTGCCAGCAGGGCCCGGAAGTTGCTCCGGCCTCCCTAGGGTCAGGGCTCTGCTCCTCAGTCACAGGATGAGCTGTTATCAGACAGCACAGCTGGCTCAGAGGTGACCCCCCAGTGCTGCTAAATTGGGGCCACTGGCTCCTGCTGCAGGAAGAGGGAAATGCAGGCAGGATGTCCTCTTCTGTGGCCGACAAGTCCTTTCCCATGAACCCCTGCTGACCTTGTGGGCCACGTGGCAGGGGCTCCCCACTGCCATCCAGCCCTGGACCTGCCTGGTGGGCGGGTAAGCGGGTAGGTAGGGCACAGGCATAGGAGCCTGGCTGGGGGGTTGTGCTCACTGTCAGCTCCACCAGGGCAGGCCCAGCACCCTGGCTGCCTCCAGCAACAAATGCCTGCATCTTCCTGCTCCCAGGCTTGTCCCCTAGGCACAACCGGAAAACTGAGGTCCCAGAGGAAGCCCATGTCTGAAAAGGACTAAAACTCAGGGATCCCTGGCTCTAGTAGGACATGTCACTACTCCTCTACAGAGGCTGGTTTAGTGGGTGTGAGAGGTTGCTTGGACTCCTCTCCCTGTCCACCTGCTGCTCTCAGGGCCTCTCAATGTGGTGCAGAGACCTGGCCCTGGTGGAGCAAAATCATTGAACAGCATGAGGGGTGGAAATTAGACACAGGAACTTCTCATGCTAAGACCCCACTTAATGGCCCTGGGTTCCTTCATTCCCCTCTGTCTCATCACACACGTGTTCCCTTTCCTCCATCCTTACCAGACCTCTCTGCATCAACTAGGGGCTTCTAGAGGACCCATTGAGACACCCCCATTGGGGGCCATGTTTCTCCACATTTGCTTCCCCATGTGCATCTGTATAAATAGTCTCATTTTCCACCTAGAGTGATTAAAACATGCCAGCCCTGATCATTAACAGGGCCTCTGGGTTCATGCACTAGTAGGCCCTGGCTTCCTGCCTCACCTGGACAGTGTCTCCTTGCGGTTGGCCCCTGTCACTCTTTCCTACTTTGTCATCCCCCATCCCAGGCTCTAGCCTCATCTGACTGCTCACTTGTCCCCATACAACATCTAGACTTTCCTGTCTGTAAGCTTTTGAGGAGTTCCTCGCCCTTCTTGGAATGCCCTTTCCAGACCTCTCCAGGCAGACCCTTGCTGGAAGTGACGTGACTTCCTGTCACCATCTGGGTTCACTGGGCCCCTGAGTACTACATTTCTCTGCTGCAGACATCTGATGCCACATGTGGGTCCCCACCAGTCTGGCACTCAGGAGACTCCTGCAAGGTGGGGCCAGGTCCAAATCCTTCCTGGGCTGAACTGAGGTGCCATGGTTGTGGTACTAGCCTCCTTCCTGGCACCCTGGGGAGTGCCCCAGGTAAGCTAATTGTTATACTTTGTCAGGGGCATGGTGAAGTGGGCACTGTGCTCTGGAGGAGCAGGGCCACTGGCACCACATTGGCTCTGTACCTAAGCACAGTAGGCAGATGGGCATCACCTGATTTGTGTACCAGAGGGCTGAGCTAGGGCAGGAGGTCCACAGGTACCAGGTATGATGGCCCATTGAATGTGAGGAGTGGACTGACAGGAGTCTCTGGATTGTCCTGTATGTCCCTAGGCTGCTGCTCACTGTCTTGAAGCACAAAGAACCTCTCTCTAGGAGGTTAAGTCTCGAGAGATAAAGCTCAGCACCTACATCCTGCCATGTGTGACCCAGATCATGGCAAGGGTTTGTGTGCTCAGGCCAACGAAGCCCAAGGATCCAGAAGTCTCTGGATTGTCCTGTATGTCCCTAGGCTGCTGCTCACTGTCTTGAAGCACAAAGAACCTCTCTCTAGGAGGTTAAGTCTCGAGAGATAAAGCCCTCATGGGATTGCCATCTGCCAATTCCACAGGGACACAGGATGGAACAGGACCCAATGTCCTGCCTCACAGTCCAGTATAGTCATTCAGCACTTGCTATTCTGCCACTTGGCATGAATGGCAGAGACTGGAAGGGAAAGCCTCAAGCTGCCCTCTGAAGACTTAGGGGCAGGCCAGGATGAGGCTGAGGGGTCAGCTTAGTGTCCAGAATCTTTGTGCCCTCTTACTCTGGTTTCCTGGATGCTTGACAACACTTGTACACTGGAGGCTCATGGCCCATCTCCACCCAGGAAGCTGGGGGAGGGGGTGGCTGTCCAGGCTACCAGTCTCTTCGCTGCATACCCAGCCAGATACGCCTGGGGATGGTCTGGGGCACCCCCTTCAGCTGACACCCTCTCCTTTCCCTCATGGCTGGGTCTGAGGAGTCACAAGCAGCCGCCCAGAGAATTGTGCCCCTCCTCTTCACCCCTCTACCTCCTGGGTCTCACAAGTGCAGAATGCCTTCATCTCCCTGGCTTCTTCCCCAAGCCTCACTGTGGGACTCCCCTCAACCTGCTCTCCACTGCCCAGCCCAGCTTTGCCAGATGTTCCTCAAGGTATAATTGGGGGGGAGAGCTCTTCTTCTTTACTCCTGCTGTCCAGCCAGAGTCCCATGCCCTCCACGAAATACTGACCCATGTGAGATCCTGACCCTGGTCTGGCCATCAGGAGCAAGAAATAGCTGAGAAAAATATCCCTGAATAGGCCCAGACTGGGACAGCAGTACTCCCCACGTGTCTCTGGGGCGCCGTGGGCGGCCCCTTCCCTTCTTTCTCCGGGATGGAGGACCTTGGAGAGTTACGGCTGACCTTGTTTAAGCTTTCCCACATGTAGAATTAGTCTTTCTTTACTGTTGAGAACCAACAGAGATGAAGTGCGTAAGGCCAGTACTGCATTTCCGTAGCACAAAAAGTACCAAAGTTTCCACTTCTGTTCTGGGGCCCTGAACGGCTCAGGTTAGCAGGGACACCCACGACGCCCCCTCCACTTGGTTTCCTGGGACACCATCTTTCTTGGATTCCCAGCTCATCTTCTTTTCAACCCCCAATGAATTCTCCCCTGTCTCCATCCAACACTCCAAGCTCTCAGCCTAGCTCCCCATCCCAGCGGCTCCCAAAGCAACCTCCATCTGCCAGTCCTGTGCTCAAGCCTTTCCGTGGCGGCCTTTGGTCTGGGCTGTTCGGTTGGCCTTCAAGGTTCCTGTCGCCAGAGCTGGGAGTCCCAGCCCTTCTCCACTTTTGTTGCTCAAGTCACTTAACAGCGTTCGGGGCCCCAAATTCCAGCCTGCGCCTGCGCCCTCTGCTCCGACGGCGCCCACCGGGGGCGCCGCCCAGCGCCTGCCTGGGAATGGGACCCGGGCCGAGCGCCCCCTGGGGCCCCCTGAGCTTCGGAAAGCTCGGGGTCTGGGGTCCAGCGCAGGGCGGGAGCGCCTCTCCGGGACCCCACCTCCGAGGAGCCCGACTAAGGACGCCCGACGCCCGGTTCCCGGAGGCAGAGCCACCCGGCGGCGCAAGGTTGGGGCGCACACGGTCGGCCGCAGTGCCGCGCGCCCAATCCGATTGGTGCCGACCCGATCCCGAGGCCCCGGCCCAGCCCGCCCGCCCCGCTTACCGTACAGGAGGCTGAGGTGGAGGCTGAGGTGGAGCCCGAGGCGCAGGCACAGCGCGGCGCCCCGCTGCATCTCCGG